TATTTTTGGCTACCAGTTGAACAACACTTTTTTTTTTTTTTATAGATTATTCTTTACATACTGTGAAGGTTTTTGGTTCCATTCCAGATACATTACACATCTCTTACTTCGATATGCTGAAGATGGTCCAATATCTGGCAAGGTGTCAGATTTTCAGTTCATAGCCCTGAAAATGAACATAAGAACATAAATTGTTATAATTTTAGTTTAGATACTTTAATTGAAAATGAATTCCATAAAGTTGGCACTTTAGGAACTTATAAATCCAAGCTAGAAGTGCTAATGCTATTTGATGACTCAAATGAAAACATTCAATCACCTATTTTATTATAATATTATTGTTGTGATGCTTGTGAAAATGCCTCATTGCAAACAGTTTTTAATCATCTGGAAGGCACTTCATTACACAGAGCGAGAGGCACCATCTGCACAAAATAATATAGCATGTAGCTAAATTTTTTTTAAAAGTTGGGGCGGGGGACAACTAACTGGCTTTAAGGTGGAGTTTGGTAAGTTTGTAATGTAGTGGCCTAGGATTGCAGAGGGGCCTCATTGCTCTAGGACAGGGGTAGGCAAAATATGGCCCGCGGGTCGGATGCGGCCCGCGGAGGGGCTTTCTCTGGCCTCTGGTGTGTCCCTTAGTCCCTTTTGACTGAGGCGCTGCCCGGCTGTGGCATGTCCTGCCACCCCCTGGGCATGCAGTGGGGCTGGGGCGGCTCCACAGCTGGACTGCTGTCGCCACTGCTCCCAGCCCCATGGTAGTGGCGGGGACCAGCACATTCAGCCCTGACCCAGCATGCCCCCTGCCAGCTCCTGGTTCGCCTGTCCAGGCTGAGCAGTGGCAGCATGGACAGAAACTGCTGATCAGTGTCGGGTAAAAGAGGCCCCTCCCCCTTCGCGGCCACTGGCAATTCCAGGTGTAGCCACCTGGAGCCTGTGCAGGGCTTCCCTGAATCTATGCTGTGTCACCACCATCTCCAAGCTGCCCCACAGGGCAGCAGTGGTAGTGCAGAGCAGATGCAGGGCACCTCTGCGTGGGCTCTGGGCACCAGGAAGCACTGGCAGTGGTGAGTGGGAGGGGCCTCTCTTACCCTGCACAACCCAGTTGTACTACCAGTAATGTAATGGGGTATTATTATCGTTGTACTTGGTGTAGGATAATGCGTGTGTTGTGGGAGTGGGGAGAAACCTGTTAGCTTTCATGCTTTTTAATATTCAGTTTTATTGTTTAAAAATCTTCATCTAAATCACATAAGCCTCATTTTAAGTATTATTATATATTACAGTCTCATTGTAATAGCAAAACTCTATTATGCTGATTTAAGTACTTGGGTAGTCGGATAGGTTTTACTGGGTATGAAACTGGTTCCTGGTCTTTTAAAGTTTCGTCTTAATTTGTTCTCCCCTTCTCTTCTTTTAGATGCATCATGTGTTAATTATGGAACCATTTTCTTACTTCTGTTAGTAAAGGTTAAAATATTGTGAATATTAAGACCTGTTTTGTCCCACTGCTATTTGTGTACAACTCAAAACTTGGATGGCAAATCAACTAAATCAGTTTGCTTCACAGACTGAGTTCCCATTTAAGCCATTGTTGCCATGTATCCCACTTCCAGCAATGGTGCATATGTGCAGATTGGTTTCTTCTCTCAGGCCTGATGAAGTCATAACTTACCTCAAGCTCCTCAGGCAGAGGAAAATTAACAGCCTAAACCAGCCCCCTCAGAAAACCCCCCAGCCATTGATACCACCTTGAATAGTGTTTAGTACTTCATTTGGCACCGGTCTTATGTTATATAAGAAGTGCCATACTAGACTAGCGGTCCACCTAGCTCAATCTACAACCGTGGCAGAAGGGGAAACATAAACGGTGTATATCTAGACTGGTCCATCCCCTCTCCATTATGCATCATGAGCTTGATGCTCATAACCCCAACTACCTACTGTTGTGATAGTTGCTCTCAGCACTGATCTTAATATCACTGTCTTTCAAAGTACTGAGTGAGCCTGAATCATTTCTGAATTTGTCTATGAGAGTGCCATCTCTGGTATCCATGCTCTAAGACACTACTCACAACTGGGGTGCCACAAGACCCTTTCAAGGTTGCTGCAGCGCTGGCATCTCTTCTACCACTAGGTAAAACTGCTCCATGCACCATATGCAGAGTCTTGACTAGGAAGCAGCTGCAACAAGAGCCAGGTGCTCGTGCCTGCATTAGGCTTATCTGATAAACCTTCCTTCTCTGGCCCCTAAATGCTCCTCCTATAAAAGAGATACAAAGGACGTTTCCACCTGGCAGCAGTAGTGGCATGACATCCTGGAGCAACACAGGAAACCCACGGATAAATGTCCAGGCAGCCGCACTGCCCGCAGGTGGAATTTTTCTGGAAACAAGTGTGAAGGACTGGACTGAGAGGGGCTGTGGAAGGAGCGGGGATGCCTGCCTGCATAGGTTTATCTAATCAATATTTACACTAACATTGATCTGATAAATCTAATGTCGGCAGGACCTCCCACTCCTGCCACAGTCGCTTCCTGGTCAGACTCTGCTTGAGGCACAGAGGGCACTTTCACTCAGCTACAGTGGCAGCAGCACCCTGGCTGAGACCCATTGAGGTAAGCTGAGGCAGTACAATAGTGGTTCTCAACTAGAGTGCCACTAAATTCAGAAAAAATTCCTGCAGAGGCATAACTAAGGGCAGTGTTATCCAGCAAGTGTTACCTTGTAAATGCTGTGCATGCACAAGAATATCTTATGAAATTTGGAGGCTGAGGCAGGAGGGCAAGGTGATCATGGCAAACTTTACTGCAGTGGGTATGAAGCCCTTTTCCTCCCCCTCCCCCAAAGTTTAGGAAACACTAAAGGAAGTCGTACTCACCCATGTCTGCCCACCCAACTCCCTATTTCTTGTGATGTTCACTTCTGGCCCTAGAGGACAACTTAGGGGCATGCAACTAGAAAATAAACTTCTATTGCCCCCTCAAAGGCTAGATCTGTCTTGCCTACAAAATCTTGCAGCATTACTCAGGAGGCTTGTGTAGTACTTGTTCATTTTGCTCAACAGCGTGAGCAGGAAACTTGGAAAGAACACACTTGGATGGAGAAACCAATTCCATCTGCTGTTTTTATGTCTTTCCTGTTGAGGTAATAGCCATCATTTCTGCTGCTTAGACTTCTGTTTACTCACGGAGTCCATCTTGAGATGAACTTTACACCATAGCAAGGAGACATTTGGGAAATTTTGAAGGCTCTCTTTACTCCTCCTCCGTGCCCTTCCCTCTCCTCCACTCACTTTTTTCTTTTCTTTTCACCACCACAGAACTCTTGGTCTTGGACATCATTTTGCTGAATTGGCAAATGGTCCAAGTTATGATGCAGAACAGGCATAAATGTTTTATGTCAGTAAGCAAGGAGGAACATCATTTCCTCTTGTTCTGCAAAACTGGGTCTGGAACAGGTGTTAATCAGCAAATTGTATCCGTAGCTGTGTCTACTGAATACTATAGTAGACCAGCGCAGCACTCAATTCACAACTGACCTTCAGTGTATTATCAAGCACTACAAAGCATCTTCCACAGGTAATTTGGTCTCCTGAGAACGAATGTTTATCATGGGCAAATAGTGTCTGTCAGATGGTTTGCTCTGAATCAGTTAGGGCAGTGTTTCCCAACCAGTGTGCCGTGGCACAAAAATGTGCTGTCAGAAATGAACAGGTGTGCTGCCGAATTTTGCCATAGTAATGAGCTACAATAGGTATGAGGATGGGGAATGCCTTAATAGGTGTGTTGTGGAAATTTTTTATTAATGTATGTGTGCCCTGGGCTGGAAAAGGTCGGGGAACACTGAGTTAAGGGTCTGAGCCCAAGTTCACTCTTTAGATGTTTTTTTCATCTTGTAGACTCCATGATAATGGATGCCTATCTCTGGTCCTGTTAATACAGAGGGTCATGAAGAAGCTTAGACAAGTCTTGGCAGTAATTATAATGCTAGCACCATCTTGATCCAGACAATTTGGGTACAGCCTAAAGGGCCAGTCAGCTGGGGACATCTCTTGGCCTATCTGACAATCTCCCAGAGAGGAAAAGCAAATTTTACCCCTAGGCCCATCATTATTACATATGAAAGCAGAAACATTGCCTAAAAGAAGTAGCGCTACAGGGAGTGTACATATCTGTTCACTCAACTTCTGTAGCACCACAAATGTAATGTGGCCAGTCTAAAAACATTTTAAAAAATTTTTTTTAGCTGCTATATTATCTGTATAACCATTAAGGAGTTTTTAATATTTTAGTGAATCTTACCATTTGCAGACTAGCATTTTATAAACACTAATTGTCACATGGCTTCTACAAATAAGTTGAGCTATCCTTATCCCCAACTTGGAGGTTGTGAAACATGGACATAAAGGTAAGAAATTCAGAGTCCCTGCACATGTCCATTCTCCAGTAGTGTCCTACACTGGGTACAATGCACACTGAACAAGTTAACTTAGGTGCTGAAGGTAGTTTATCTGTGGCAGCATAGAGCTCTGGCTGGTCTATATTACCTTTCTAAGCAGAGTAAACTAGTCTGTGCAGTTGTGTTGTCAGGACTATAATGCTCCTAGTACCTGAGTTTAGGTCATTTAAAGCTACCTCAGACATGTATTGTTAACCCTCTGTAGTCACAGTGGCTTCTCAGCTGCCAACAACCAGCAGAGCAGGAAGCTTGAATAGCCCCCGCATGTTTAGGAACATGTGGACAGATACCAAAGTTAACACAGGAGACAAGAGGAACAGTGTTTGAGAAGGGCAGTACCTGAAAACCTGAGATCTTTTCTGAAGAATCCGTCCGCGGGCTTTGCTTTGCATGCCAAGAGTCTATTTCTTCGTTTGGAGGCCTACATATAACATAACAGGCTAGCAAATGATATTCAGCATTGCCATGTCAGTTTGTAATTCATGAGATGATATTGTTGGTCTTTAAAATAATTAGTTTTATATTTTTTTTGTTCTCCAGAGGTGGATGGATCCAAACAAGCCAATTAGGAAGCAATTAAAAAGTGAGTCGATGCATTTAGTTGGTCAATTACAAATATGATTTTTATTAAAGTTTTTAAAATAATTGATTAATTAGAAATTCTTTTGTTGTTCTAGGAGGATCTCCTTACAGTTTGAACTTTAGAGTCAAATTTTTTGTAAGTGACCCTAACAAGCTTCAAGAAGAATACACGAGGTAGGTAATTTATGATTGAAAAACCCTCCTAGAATGTTTAGAAGTAGAAATAAGCATTTATGTAGAACATATAACTTTGAAAGCACAATGTATTGCAGTTTCTTCCTTAAAATCTGTTTTATAAGTTTCTCTTGTCACGTGTTTAAGATTTTTCCATAGCTTATAGTGAAAATTTCCACATGGACAAAAAGTGCATAAATGCATATAAAAAGCCGTTGAATGCATAGTTTATAAATGAAATGAATATATGGAGTATATACAATAATAACATGAAGAAAACCTTCCTAGATAGAAATAGGAAACAGGAAAATGAGGAACAGGTAGGGGGAGGAAAACAGCTCTGTTGCTCTATTCATCCATGGGTAAATATTAATTTATACTTGTTGTCTCTTATCCATTTGGAAAAATGAAAACCCTCATCTCATAAGTCTTTGAAATTCAATAAAGTTTTTTTTTCATTTTTTTTTTTTTTTTTCCCTGTTCCTTTCATCCAAGCATCAAAGTATTCTACTTTCCTTTTGCTGGCCTAACAATGGCCACATACATTAATTCAGTTTCTCCTGGGATATCCGTGCTGTACGTTGCTAACCAGTAACTTTTTAAGATGAGACCTTTCTGGCAGTGTATCATTTAGCATGTAAGGAAGACAGAAGTGTTATAAATACAATCATAATTTTCATGGGACCAATGAACGTGGACAGCAAAAGGTCTATTTTTGCTGTTTGCTTCTCTCCTTATGCTAAAATAGGTGGTGACTAGCAAATATCATTTTATATGTATTCCAATTTCTAGCCAAAATGTTTTTTTTAACTTAATGAGCCCCATCTTCATTGCTCCTATTATTTAAGGAGTGCATGCATTGTGTAAGCTTTTTTTAGATATATATTGCTAAACCTTCCATAATTTCCTATTCTATCCAACAGTATTGAAAAGGTTTGTGCCCTAAACCAGACCCTTTTTAGCTAATAACTAAATACCTTCACTGTACACAGAACACACTGAACAGAGAATGAGCTCAGCTTTATCATTATGACTTATAAGGACAACAGAGCATCCCGATTAGACATTTCACAAGAAGACTTTTAATCTCTATACAGATGAAATTTTTGCCCTTAATTGGTTTTGCAGTCATAAAAACTCAGTGGAAATAATCAGTCTACTAGAACATATTTGTGTCATGAAAACTAAACTGAGCTTATCCTAAGCACCCTTTTAACATAGTTTGTATTAATTGAATCACAAAACATTAGGAACAAGAAGTTAAATTTTCTTCTTAAACGTAGTTCAGATACTCTCAGCAGAATAAATGTAATTGTTCTAACAGGCATATTTTACAAAAATGAAACAAGTTTAACTTATTTTTTATAGCTATTACATTTTTCTGTAGCAATCTGTTTTACAGTGGAGAAAGAGTTTTATATGAAAAAATCTTTAATGTCTGTTTTATTTATAAGATTGGCTAATGAATTAAAGGTTGTAATGGCCTTGAATTTTGGGACCTTTTGTCCTGGTTTAATGCCTTCATGGTGCTTTGAAAAACTGAACTTTTTACTTGTGGTCAGATGAAATTCAGTTGCATTTTTTGTAGCAGTTTGTGTTAGCTCCAGTGTCTTTCCTTGACAAGGGTCAATTAGCAGAACTCTGTTCTGATCACTGTATATGTACCCTCTTACTAGCTGCAGGCACACCATTTTGTTTCTTGCATTAATGGTGCCATAATGCACTTCTGGGTGATCTGATTCTTCTGTCTGTGCAAGCCTGTAAAAAAACAAACAAAAAGCAACAACAAACAAACAAAAAACCTATGGGGTTTATTACTAACCCACTGATTAAGAATACTTTAAGCCCCCTACTACACGTTACAGGTATTGCACAGTTAAAGGCCAAAGTACTTATAACACAATAAAAAACTCCAACCAGCTATCAAGTTAGACCTCAAAAATGTGTACTAGCTATAGCTGGTTGCTGTTGAGCTTTAATTTGCACATATATCAGGGTCTCCCCTGCAGCTGGGAACCTGTCAGCTGATGGGGTTTCCAGCCATAGGGGTGTGTACCATGTCCAGCATGAAATCCCCAGACCCAGGGGATGGCAGCTGCCACAATCCCCCAGGTATGTGGGTTTCATGCATCCCCAAGCCCTGGGGATGGCAGCTGCTTTGATTTCCTGGGCCCACCGATGACTGGAAGCCCCTCAACTGAGAAGTTTCCCAGCTACAGGAACATGCTTGTTGGTGCAGGGGGAGCCCAGGACTGGGCTTTAGTTAATCCATTAGGCACATAAGTTTCTACCAGTAAAGTTACTTGGATGCTCCAGGTTCTATCACTGAGTACCCCCAAATCTGCTGCCCTCTTGTCTGAGCTGAGCACTTTGTGCCAATCTCATGCTTAAGGCTGGTTGGTATCTCAAATGAAGCATTTCTGCACTAAGCCCCCTGAGGGACCTTAACTCATTGGCATTGTCAAGCATACCCAAGACATAGTTGTGTAGAGCAGTGATTCTCAATCAGTATGCAGTGAGATCCCTTTAAACATGACGCAGGGTGCTGCACAATATTTGCACTGTTAGAAATGCAAACACCTACACAATTCACAAAATAAACCCAGAGATTTTGAATAGGCATCCGTGGTGTCAAAACATTCTGACCTGTTGTCATCTTTCTGGGTTCATGGCTGCAAAAATTGCTATACTGTTTTTCTGTAGTCAGAAAACATGGCAAAATGAAGAGCTGGCACTTTCTGAGTGCCTTGAGTCTAAAAGATTTGAGAACCATTAGTGTATAGTAGGGGTTTCCAACCTTTTTGGAGCAGTGTACCTCCAGCGGCCAGTTGCAGGGAGGTGGGGGGGAGGGCTCAGTCAGGTGGGGGAGGGCGGGGGGAGTGGCGCGCAGCCAAATGCAGCTGCGTGGCTGCATGGGATGGTGCATGGTGGCACTTCATCCCTGCCCACCTGTGTACACCCCCTAGGGCCTTCTCAAGTACCCCTGGGGGTATGTGTACCCCCAGTTGACAACCCCTGGTGTATAGACTGAAGCCCAGCAGGCATAGCAGAAGATCTCAGTTCAGTTCAAAGCTCTCTTCATCTTCCACCTCCCAGGGAAATGCCCTGCCCCTCTGGCGGTGAACTAGGTTGAGTGAGGATCACCCTTTTGTTGAAGCTGCCCCCACTGCACAGGGGCACGGGGACAGGATGGGTGGCTCCTGCCACTGCGTGCACTCCCGGGCAAGCATAGGGGGGCATATGCCCCCCAATCTGTGCGTAGGGTGAGCTGCCACTGCGGGCTTTGCCCCAGGTGTCAAACTTCATTGCTACAGCACTGAGTGCATCTTAAAGTTATTAATTGTTTCTGCGCTGTGATGGGTCTGTCAATTCTCTTAACCTTGAATGCAAGTTAGTAAGTTTTACAAAAAAACTAGAACTCTTGGTTCCAAAATGATACCTTTTATTAGACCGTGGCAAGAAAATTGTCCTTTTCTGCAAGCTTTTGGGATCAAAATCCCTTTGTCAGGGTCTGGGAAATGTGTAGATGGTACAAGATGGTAAAAAGTCCCCATAGGTAGAAAATAAACTTCATTTTTGCACAGAAGGAGCTGAAGATGGAAGGCTGTCTCTCTGGGTCCATGAGAGTGTCTTTGTGAGCTGTGTTGAGTAGCTCTTTGTGTTGATCGGTAGAATTCCTTCCCTGGAGGTGTCAGATGGCAAGCAGGGAGGTAAAAAAAACTTGCTTGTTGTTCTGCAATGAAGTTTAAAATCCAAAATCAGCTAGTAAGTTTAAAATCCACACAGTAAGTTTAATATTTAATATAGTAAAATTGGATCTGAATATTTTAATATAAACAAGTGCTTTTGCCAAACAGCTGTATTCATTGTTGTTAATAATTGCTTTCGATTTGTTTCTCCAGCACTGTCTCTCGCCCCATCCTCATTAAAAAATTAGGCGACTGTGGTGTCAACCCCTACACAGTCAGACAGGTCACTAATTGGCTGGAGGGCCGTACCAAGAGAGTGGTGGTGGATGGGTCGTTTTCGACCTGGAGGGACGTGGGCAGTGGGGTGCCCCAGGGCTCGGTCCTTGGGCCTGCACTGTTTAATATCTTTATTGGCAACTTGGATGAGGGGGTGAAAAGCACCTTGTTCAAGTTTGCACATAGCACTAAGATGTGGGGAAAAGTGGGCACACTAGAAGGGAGGGACAGGCTACAACTAGATCTGGACAGGTTACAGGGGTGGGCGGATGAGAATAGGATGGGATTCAGTACAGACAAGTGCAAGGTACTGCACCTGGGGAGGAAGAACCAGTAGCATACCTACAGGCTGGGGAACTCCCTTGTCAGCAGAGAGGGAGAAAAGGATCTTGGAGTCATTATTGATTCCAAGATGCACATGGGCCGCCAATGTGGGGACGTGGTCAGGAAGGCTAACTGCACCTTGTCCTGCATCCGCAGATGCATCACGAGCAGGGCCAAGGAGGCCCTCCCCCTCTATGTGGCATTGGTCAGGCCGCAGTTGGAGTACTGCGTCCAGTTCTGGGCGCCGCACGTCGGGAGGGATGTGGCCAGCATGGAGAGGGTCCAGGGGAGGGCCACCCGCATGATCGGGGGGCAGCAGGGGAGGCCCTACAAGGAGAGGCTATGGGACCTGAACCTGTTCAGCCTCCACGAGAGAAGGCTGAGAGGGGATCTGGTGGCTGCCTATGCCCTTGCCAAGGGGGACCAACAGGCTATGGGAGAGTTCCTGTTCCCCCAAGCACTACCGGGAGTTACAAGAAATAACGGCCATAAGCTGACTGAGAGTAGATTCAGGCTGGACATCAGGAGGCGCTACTTCACAGTCAAGGCGGCTAGGAGCTGGAACCAACTTCCAAGGGAGGTGGTGCTGGCTCCTACCCTGGGGGTCTTCTGAAGAAGGCTAGATAACCCCAGCATCCTTTTCTGCCCATGGCAGGGGGTCAGACTTGATGCTCAGGTCCCTTCTGACCCTACAAACTATGAAACTATGAAAGTATTTTATTAATGATTTTATGCCACCAGTCAGAGCAGAATTGCAAGAAGGAAAAATGTATGATGGTATTATTATCAGGGCTTAGGATGTCCCAAAGCAGTGTTGTATACAAGAAAGCAACAGTGTTCTGTTCTGTGGAGCATTTGTTAATGGAGGCATCAGAACATAGAAAGTACAATACTATTACTGTGCTGCATTGTAAGGGATTGTTTCCAGTGGAAATAATGGGTTCTAATAACAGTAAACAGCCTCAATGCACATCGTGTGACGTTTTGCAACAAGTGTGATTTGTATCTTGTCATTATATTACTTTCTTATTGTTGTGATGGTTTTTTGTTGCAAGTGTGATTGTCCACTTTGTAATTTATATGCGTTTACTTCCATACAGTCCTGTAAATCTATTGTTTGTGCAGAGTGGGAACCTTACAAATAACTTGGTTTTTGTATATACAAATTGAGACACTTTAGAGGGCCCTGATTTTTCAGCGGTTGGATTCCTATCGCTCTGTAAAAATAAAGGGCCCTTTAAAATTACTCAAATTTGGGTGTAGGATCAAGAATACAATTAAATATCATAGACTGCCTTAGCTTTTATTTTTTAAAAACCTTCAGTTAGTGAGTAAAGGATTAAGTGAATACCAAAAAACTAATAGGCTACCTGTGCTTCGTGCAGGGGGGTTATATTTAGAGAAATCTGCTTATACAACTGTCATATAGTTTGTATTTGTCATCATCTGTTTTCTGTCACTAAATTGACTTGATTGAAAACAGTCTCCTTCTTTTCAAATGTTCATCTGCTTATTTTTCTGCTTTTTGTTCCATCAAAAGGGTAAGCAGTGGGAGAACCAGATGAACTATTGAAAACAGGCTGTCTCTTGTAAAAGTCATTTAAAATTAAAGGAAAGAATACTATTATGCAGTTTATAAACAAGTATAGAAGAAATGTTTATGGAAAACATGAAAAATTCTCAAACGCTTACAAAGTTTGGCATCCGTGTTTTTAGCTCTGACATTAAATTGCATCAGATAGTCTCAGAGTTTAAATAACCAGTGACTTCCTTTTGAAGTTGGTGAGAATTATTATTCCTTTAATACCCCTGAAAATTGGGCATGTTTTTCTTTTGGTACATAGATACAAAGTTGCATTCTTTTAGTCTTGGCAGAAAGTTAAATAGTTAATGTTCATAGTATTTTGATTTCAGCAAACAGACATTCCTACTTTCCGTATTTTCTACTTGATCTAGGAACTTGAGTATTGCTTGTTACGTGTTCCTGAAATAGAATTTAAAAGTGGAGGTTCATTTGTGAACGGATATGCTTCTTTAACCAGTGCCTCAAATTCAACTTCTAAACGTCAACATTTAGGAAGTTGCAAAATGCAAGGTTTCAAGCAGGAGCCTCGGAAGCAATTTAAGCTTCATGTTAAAATTTAATTTGAAGTATTTGTTGTCAATTTGTGATGGTATTTGTTTTGTTTTTTAAGGTACCAGTATTTTTTGCAAATTAAACAAGATATTCTTACTGGAAGGTAAGTTCTTTGTTATGACCATTTTCAGAAATAAAAAACTAAACTGCATCAATAAAATCTTAAGAGTTATAAACTATAATTTTTGCTTAAATAGAATTATTTTCTTTTGGATTTGGAACTTTATTATAAATATTTATCAATTTTTTTTTTATTGTTGGTGTCTGTGTTGTAAATGACTGTTAGATTTTTCAAAGAGAACATAATTCATATAAATATATATTTCTATTTGTTTTTATGTTTAAAAATTGTAGATTACCCTGTCCTTATAATACTGCTGCTCTTTTGGCTTCCTATGCTGTTCAGTGTAAGTATAGCACACTATATATGAGCCCATAACTACAAATTGTACCTTGCATATTTCTGGTTATTCATTGATCATTCTAGCTACCGTATGTTAATGAATTGTAATAAGTACGTTTAATGGATTTTACAATATTGTGAAATCAACACAAATATGCGGGGAGGGTTTCCCCTATCAGCAAGGGAAAGCGGCTTCTTAGCCACTTAGTGGTGTTTTTGCTGAAGTACTTGGTGCCAAGAAGTTTTACTGCTAAGTTTCCATGTTCTTCTCCATTTAATATATATTAAGAAAAAATTTCCATATACTCTAAAGTGTAATAAGTTTCTTTCTCAGGCATGACAATTGGAAGAGCTTTAGATGTTGAAATTTCTTCCTGTGAGCCTTCAAAGATGAATGGAACAGGGTGTTCTGGTGCTGTCCAGCCAGATTGTGCCATTTGCCAATTTTAGGCAAATCAGAAGGGCTATAAAGGGTTGGATCGTGAATATCTTTATGACCTTTCCTTCTTTCATCTTTTGGTGTTATAACACCTTAGTAATTCTGTGGATGAACTGAAGAAAATATTGTAAACTTAACTTTTTGAAAATCGGGAAAAGACAAAAATTGGTATTGCAGTGATTGATTTAATTCACACTATTGTGAATCTTTTTCTGAATAATTGTTTTTTTCATACATTTTTCCTGATGTATATGTAGTGGGTTAATCTGTGCAACTCTTTTTATGCCAGGTAAATAGTCCATAAGTCTTTATCCAAAAATAGGTGGTATAGCCTACAACTTTGGTTAGTAATGAAAACTTGCAAGATCATTGTGCCACTTGTCTTCCTGGATAATTTAGGTTTTGGTTTTTTTTAAATTAAATGCTATGAATTGCATTTTCTTTGAAAAAGGGCCAGGGTATCCTTGTGGATAATATTAGTACAATGATGTGCAAATCAGGTTCCATTTGTCATACGTATTTTAACCAAAGAAGCTGTTACCTTCACCAGAAAAGTAGCATGCCTGGAGACACTACTATGCATACCATGGCTGCCACTTGTGTTACGAGCTGCTGTGGCAGTAGGCCTTTGTCTAAAGTTTCCCAGGCATTGGGTGCCTTAGTCCCCCAGTAGTTTTAGGTGGGCAGCACAAGCTAACAGTCTGGCAAGGACTATGGCTTGGTTAGAAATAGAAGCTGCATTCCTAGGGATAAGATTCAGGGGCAAGAATAAATCACAGATCGTATAGTTTCTTGCATTTTCCATAGCTTTTTCATATCTGTCTGATTTTTAACATATGGTTACTGATTCCTATAATTCTCCTGATTATGTATTAAATCTTTTTGTTTTTATAACTTATTGACTGTGGGGAACATGATTTGGGAACATTTGGCCGTCATGCAGGCCTCTTTTCTGAGGAGGACTCTTGTAATTTCTGAGCATGTGCTAAATAAAAAGTGTGATTCTTTAAGCTGGCAAAATCTCTGCTAAGAGCTGGTAAAGCTGAGGCACCCTGGGTCAAAGAATTGGCCCCTTGGCACATCTCTGTTTGTTTTCATTGACTAAGCAGCAGATGGCAGAGGAGGTTTGGGGCTGAAGGACACCGCTGAGGGTGTGAGAGCACCCTGGAGTGGGTCTCAAAAGTACAGCTGACAGAATTTGTGTCAGTGTATCTAAGTACTAATTATTGTTGTTATCTTAAAGGGTATTTTTTTGCAAATTTTTCTTTGTTATAGCAGATAATAAATTTTAGATTTAAATATGCAGTAGAGGTTATTTTAGGTGTCTTAAAGCTGTAAAATATGGCTTGAAATTGTAATCAATTTCTATAAAATTTCTTATTATGTATTTCATACATTCAGCTACATGTATCTGAGCCAATAACAAATTAACAATCATTTCTATGTCCTTCTGGGGATGTTTTGGCCTAGATTGGATGTGCCATTTTTGCAAATCAAATATTCTAGAGAGCAAAATAAGCATCCTTTCTTAAGAAAGTGAGTCCTCATAATGATATGAAAGCATACAGACCAAAATTGGTTACTGAAGTATATTGCGGTAGAACTGTTGTTTAGAATTAGTCATTTTGTAGGCAGTGAACAAATGTTTATATTTGAATGTAAATATTTTCATAAACCAGCTTGCCAGGCACCCACTTGTCATACAGGTGCCTTTTTAAAACTTCTACAACAAATTAATAAGGCAATTTTTATAAGAAGAAAAGGGAAATTCAGACTTGTTCCGTCTTTCACCTGCTATAGAACTTAAGGTGGTTAACATAGTCCTAGCTCTAATTGGGCTGTAGTTGTGTTACATATGCTTGTGCTAAACAAATAATCTTTTTCCCTTTTTAATCTTTTAGCTGAACTGGGAGACTACAGTCATTCAGAAAACTTGCCAGGCTACCTCTCAGACTATTCTTTCATCCCTAGCCAGCCTCAAGACTTTGAAAAAGAAATAGCAAAATTACATCAACAGCACATGTAAGGATTTACAGAAAAAAGTCTTACTTGGTCAAATCACTTATTGCCAACTGCTGTGGTTTTATAGGAACATGCCTAAATTTCTTGTTTGAAAATTCGTTATAAATGTTTATTTACAACGCAATATTGTTACAGAAAGTTTGTATAAAACATCACTAACGCTTGGAGAGGAAGGCTCAGAATAAATGCATTTACTTTTCAACTAATTTGAAGTAGTGCTACATTTCTTTGCTAAGAACGTTTTTTGGTCATTCAGAACTGTCTGCAGAATATTTCTGGGTATGTTGCCTAGCAGAACTTTATTTTAGGCATAAATAAAGCCTTTTCTGCAATTCATCTGATTCTTTCTCTTGTGCACTTCTGTGAATCCCTACTGCACGGTTACAATGAAATGAATGCATTATATTCAGTATACATTTTCTAAGTCTTATGGTACTGAATAATTGATATAATTTCAGTTGGAGTCCTTTTTTAACGCATTTGTTTGAAATTGGGGGGTACTGACTGTTTTATAGTTTCATAGTTTCTAGGGTCGGAAGGGACCTGGGCAGATCATCTAGTCCGACCCCCTGCCATGGCAGGGAAGAGTAATGGGGTGCAACGCACCCCGCAATAAAACCCCCCAGGGTGGGAGCCTGCACCACCTCACTTGGAAGCTGGTTCCAGACCCTAGCCGCCCTGACCGTGAAGTAGCGCCTCCTGATGTCCAACTTAAACCTTCCCTCCGCCAGCTTGTGACCGTTATTCCTGGTCACTCCTGGCGGCGCTCGGGGGAACAGGGACTCCCCCAGTGCCTGTTGATCCCCCCCCTGACTAGTTTATAGCAGGCCACAAGATCCCCCCTCAGCCTTCTCTTCTGGAGGCTGAACAGGTTCAGGTCCCGTAACCTTTCCGCATAGGACCTGCCCTGCTGTCCCTTGATCATGCGAGTGGCCCTCCTCTGGACCCTCTCGATGCTGTCCACATCCCTCTTAAAGTGTGGCTCCCAGAAATGGACGCAGTACTCCAGTACGAGCTTTCAAAATTATCAATTGCTGATTGAATCCATATTGTTTAGATTCAATCAAGCATGTTGTAAATTAAATTACCGTTAAGGAAAAATAAACAATTTGGGTTTGGTAATAATGCAAACACTAAAACGTAGGATAAGCCGTGGGAAAAGCAGATATTCTTTTTGTCCTAAATACAGATGGCCACAAGTGTTTCTAGGTTTTTTTCACTAATACTCCATTTGCAGACACTTACACGATGCAGTAATATATGTGCCTTAGAGTCTGTATCTGTGTGTACTATATCCCTACGTCACACCTTTTTAAAAGTTATGCCTCTATACAGAAAAAAATAAGTAACAGGGCTGCAAGCTTGCACATCATATGTGGTGACTAATCAAAGCAGCAGTTTTTTACTTGGTCGATAACCACTTCTGTTAACCTCTTTCTTCCACAGGTGTACTGCCCATTTCCCTTTCTAAGACCCCTGCCAGATGTGCAGGGAAAACCATGATAGGATCTAATGCACAATCCATATGCATGGCAGGAGGCATGATTGTAGGATCGATGGTTAGATCCCATTGTGCCTTATTGTCATCGCAGGGGGTGCCTGGGCTCCCCTTGCACCAGCAAGTAGCAAGCTCCTGCATCTGGGAGCCCCTCAGCTGATGGGGGTTGACCATGCTCTCTTGTGGCCAGGAGCCTTGACAGCTGCCAGGGCTCCAAGCCATGAGAGTGCATGGCACGCCCCTGTGGGTGAGAGCCTGGATCAGTTAATGGGGCTCCCGGCTGCAGGAGTGCACCGGGCCCCACATTCAGTTAATGGCATGATAGGAACCAGCCACAAAGTTGTAATACATCAGGGGTCTGCAACTCTCAGCCTGTGTGCCAGAGTGTGGCACATGAAGCCATTTTGCCTGGCATATCACAACTGGCCCAGCTCTGAGCAGCTGCCACTGGCCACAGAGTCTGGAGCTTGCAGCAGGCAGCCAGTAGGCTGCAAGCCACCTGGGCTGTGTGGCCAGCAGCCAGGAGGCTGCAAACAGCTGCACCGGGGTCTGGAGCCTTGGCACCAGCTCTGTGGCAGAGGTGGTGGCTGCATGTAAGCTGATGGGGATGGGACTGGGGCAGCACAGCCCTGGCCCCTCCCCTACCCAGAGGCATGCATGCACCCACTGCCAGCAACAAGGATCGCTGTATGCATGAGAAGTCACCCAGACCTTCGATGCATATGCCTAGGCAGAAGGATGGAGGAATGGAGACTTTCCATCCCCACTTTAGGGCAATACAGAGGCCAGACATTTGGTGCTGCCATAGCTGGAGTTGTATAAGCATCTGGAAATCAAACCCAGTTCTCCCGTGTGGCAGGCAAGGCTTCTACCACTGAACCACAGGGGACTCTACATAGTAGGGTGGAACAGAAGTAACTGTTCTTCTACCAGACATTTAGCATAGGCTGGGACTTGGGAAGGGAATTTTGTGCCAAAAAGCTTGTTTTAACGTTTTTTCCAACTATAAGGTTAGTCCAATAAAAGATATTATCAAATAAATAATGCTTCTTACATGTTCCATGGGCTGTCATAGCTATTACAACACTGCTGCAGTATAGAGTCTAATCAGGTGTTTCTCTGTTTACCAAATTACTGTGGTGCAATAATGTATGTAAATGAGTAGAGAATTGAGAAGGCAGATAAAAACAGTTGAATTAAGGTATTAGTATCTGGATTAATTAAAGGTTCTGGGCATTTTATGCATATTTAACTCATTTCTCTCATTATAGAGGCTTGTCTCCTGCAGAAGCAGAGTTCAATTATCTCAATACGGCACGTACCTTAGAACTCTATGGAGTTGAGTTGCACTATGCAAGGGTAAGTTTGAATGAACTGGTACTGTAATATAAAGGTAGAGAATCGTTTGCGATTTTGGAAGAACAATTTTTAAGATGTCCTTAACTTTTGTGCTACCATTGCTATTTTAAAAGTATGTCAGAGGTCAAAGTTGAGAGAGGTACTTTAATTGTTTGCTTAACTTTGGGTTAAACAGGTTTGAGTAGCTTGAATTTACTTTCTTAGGATTTTCCATGTTTTTAAATTGAGGTAAATGTTTAAATACCTTTTTCAAATCTGGGCACGAATAAGGTGAACATTAAGTTAATTATTTGCCCCTATGTTGCACGATAGTGCTTTATCTGAGGTACCTTTGGACTTGAGAGAATTACTGGCTGCTAAGATGGTCTGATTTGCTTCCTTGTTCAAGTGATGGGAAGTTTTCTCATCTATTGTGCACTATAAATGAAAAAGGGCATCATTATTTTGGTTCTTGTTAGAATGCTCCTAAGTGGGCCACTCCTAAGAACAATTTTCTCTTCCATTTCCTGAAATCCTCCCAAGCACAGATTTACTTCTTGCTGAAAACACTAATCTTTAGCAGCCTGGACACTTCAAAATACATCATATGCTATGATCTGGAATCTAATTCTAAATACAGAACATTTCTAAATAACATTTTGAGTAGTCATGTTTAATAATGTATGAAGTAGTCCACCCCATTTTTGCTTATTCTAGATAAATGTATTTGATAGGATCAAGTGATGGTTCTGCAACATTTAGGGTGCAGAGTTATTGTTAGAGAAAACTAAAATAGCAGGAATCTTGTTTGTGGAAGAATTTCCTGCCTCCAAATACTGGCATAGCCACTTGGTTTTAGATAAGAGCATAAGTTGCTAGTTGATATCAGACTGACTCAGTAACAACCATACTGCTTAACTTGTGGTTCATACTTATGTGTGAATGTCTAATAAGTTTACTTTAAGTAATTTCCACTGCTCTAAAAGCTTCAAAAATGATGCTCTTTTACAAATCTGTTTAAACAAATCTATAAAGCTGAATATATAGTTAACTTGGTAGTTCTAATATAGTTTCAATTATTCTGCATGAAATTTAAAAAAATAAAACCAGGTGTTTCTGGGTATAATTGAGAGAGAGCCTGATTCTTCTATAGCAAAAATTACCTCAGTTTTATCTCAACTCTAGTTTCCCTGGAAAAATAATTGAATGTGTACATACTCAAAAGCCCACAGAACCCTCTACTCTGCCACAAAAGTTACTCCACTTTTGCTGGCACTTGTCAACTAGCTGAAGGTGTTTGGAGACACTCCTATGCTTTCAGCCATCTGCTTTGATCCCTTACTTAGCTCAAGCCCTTCTGGAGTGCATAATTTCATAGATGTAGGGTCGGAAGGGACCTAAGTAGATCATCAAGTCTGACCCCCTGCCCTGGGCAGGAATGAATACTGGGCTTATATGACCCCTGGTAGGTTTGAGCTGATATGACCCCAGCTAGGTAATTATCAAGCCTCCTCTTAAAGACCCCCAGGGTAGGAGCCAGTACCACTTCTCTTGGAAGTTGGTTCCGGCTCCTAGCCGCCCTGACTGTGAAGTAGCGCCTTCTAATGTCCAGCCTGAATCTACTCTCAAACTTATGGCCGTTATTCCTTGTTACTCTGGTAGGCGCTCGGGGGGAACAGGGTCTCGCCCATTTCCCACTGGTCGCCCCTAGTAAGTTTGTAGATGGCCACCAGGTCCCCTCTCAGCCTTCTCCTGTGAAGACTGAACGGGTTCAGGTCCTGTAGCCTCTCCTCTTAGGGCCTGCCCTGCTGCCCCCTGATCATGCGGGTGGCCCTCCTCTGGACCCCCTCGATGCTGGCCACATCCATCCTGAAGTGCGGCGCCCAGAACTGGACTCAGAACTCCAGCTGTGATCTGACCGGTGTCGCATAGAGGGGGAGGATCACCTCCTTGGACCTGCTCATGATGCATCTTTGGATGCATGACAAGGTGCAGTTAGCCTTACTGACTGCGTCCTCACACTGGCGGCCCATGTTCATTTTGGAATTGATAATGACTCCAAGATCTCTTTCTGTCACTGCTCTTATGAGAAGGGAACTCCCCCAGCCTATAGGTATGCTGATGGTTCTTACTGCCCAAGTGCAGCACCGTGCACTTGCCACTACTGAATCCCATCCTGTTCTCATCCGCCCACCCCTGTAACCTGTCCAGGTTCAGTTGTATCCTGTTCCTCCCTTCTAGTGTGCCACCTTGCCCCAAATCTTGCTTTTCACCCTCTCGTCCAAGTCGCTGATGAAGAAATTGAACAGTGCGGGCCCGAGGACCAAGCCCTGGGGGACTTCCCTGCCCACGTCCCTCCAGGTTGAATAAGACCCGTCCACCACCACTTTCTGGGTGCAACCCGTCAGCCAATTTGCGATCCATCTGACTGTGTAGGCATCAGTGCCACAGTCACCTAGCTTTTTAATGAGAATGGAGTGGGAAACGGTGTCAAAGGCCTTCCTGAAGTCCAGAAAGACTACATCCACGACACCTACGTCCAGTGATTTTGTGACCTGATGGTAGAAGGCAATCGGGTTGGTTTGACAGGACCTGCCCCTAAGGAACCCATGCTGGTTGCCCCTGAGCATCATCTCCCCTGCTGGTCCTTCCCCAATGTGCTCCTGGATAATTTTCTTAAAGAGCTCCATGAGCCAGAGCACCATGAATGCTCATAAAGCCATGCCAGGGGGCTTGCGATGACCCCTGCAAATTCGCTCAGTGCCCTGGGGTGGAGAGCATCTGAACCTGCTGATTTGAACACGTCCAACCCCTCCAGCAGTTTCCTAACTCGGTCCTCCCTGATCTTAGGCCTGGCGGAGTCTCTCCTGAGTCCGTCCTGAATCCTGGTGGGGGAGATGTCCCGGCCCCTGCACAAAAAAATAGAGGCAAAGAATTTGTTAAAAAGGTCTGCGTTTTCCTCTGGTGCAACCACCAGATTGCCAAGCGTAGCCTTCTTCATACTCCCTGTGTATTTAAAATAGGACTTTTTGTTGTCCTTCATCCTTGATGCAAGCCCTAGTTCCGTATCTGCTTTAGCTTTCCTAACAACCGCCCTGCAGACCTGAGTGATGGAGGTGCAATTTGTGCTCTGACAACATAGCTGCTATAGCGGACCCATATGAGTCTCTGAGAGGTGCACAGAAATTCAGGCAGCGGGGGTGGGGGGGGGCAGTTTAGTATAGATATTACCTAAGGATTATAGTATGCTTATGAAACAGACTATAGGAATGTGCAGTTTCCCATTTGAGCCTGCCATGTTTGATCTTCCTCTTGAATTGTTACTTTTCAGAAATAGAATTCTACTCATTTTTATGCATGCACATAGGTAATCTTTAGTTTGACAGAAATACAAAAAAGTTGGAATTATGAATATAGTGAGACCAAAAGCTGAGATGCAAGTAGAAAGTATCTGTAAAAACTTGAAAATGATAAATTGGAACTTGATGTTAAATGGAGTAGAAAGACAAAAGAGGGATTTGGCAAAATTGGAGTGGCATTATTTTGGTTGCCAGATGCTGAATGTATTGGGGTAGGTATAGACTAGAGGCAGGGAAAGGGTTACTGTATGTCAGTGGTTTTCAACCTTTTTTCATTAGTGGACCTCTGAAATATTTCAAGTGGAGGTGCGGACCCTTCGGAAATTTTGTGTGGAGGTGCCGCCCCCCCCCCCCTTGAATTGTACATGTGGGTATTCATATACTTTTGATCATAGTTATCTTTTGCGGACCCCTTAGGCATGCTCTGCCAACTCCCAGGGGTCTGCGGACCACAGGTGGGACACCACTGCTCTAGACTAAGCACCTGGGACAGAGAACAGGTGGAAAGAAGGATGTGACTTGTAACTTTGAGGTCATTATCTCCTAAAAATTGAATGTAAAATGGGGGTAAACTTGCAGCTGAGGTTAAATGGACCTCTTCCATTAAATCCTTGCTCATATCAGGCAAAATCAATCCCTTTAGATTCCTTAAGATACAACTTTTATGTTTGATGTATGTGTACGTGCACACGCATGAGAGAGGGGGAGATATGAATGGCAGAGTATGCATGTAGAGAGAGTTTCTTACAATATTAATTTTCCTGTGTTAAATCATGATTCCTTTGTTTTCTTTTAAAGGATCAAAGTAACAATGAAATTATGATTGGAGTGATGTCAGGAGGAATACTAATTTATAAGAACAGGGTACGAATCAACACTTTTCCATGGTAAGGAAGACAATTTTCAGCAAATTCTTTTGCACTTATTATTTTAACGTTTAAAAAAAAAATAGCTTCATGCTAAAAAGTGTCTGGAAATTATTCAGTCTTAGTAGTTCAAATGGGAGAGATTCACTTTGCATACTTTTCAGTGGATGTTATGAACACTGGTTTTCATTCTGGAAATCTTCAGGCTGTACTGCTTGAATGATTTCAGTGCACAACATGGTTTAACTGCAGTGTTGCTGCAAGAATTTGGAACCTTATTTTATGTTTTAATGAAATTACACAGCCAGGGTGAACGTCACGGGAGTTATAATACAGTTCTAGCTCAGAATCCTTAAAAGGGATGGTTTGGCATGTTGGCAGAACTTAGAAATCTAGTTTTGATCAATAGGATGAATGATTGATTTATCTGGGGTTTTTCTTCTGTAGTTTAATTGCACTGACAGTATTAAATGTATATTACTGGTTGAGTGCAGGATGTGAAAACAGAGGAGGTGGTATATTCAGTAGCACCATCTCCCTTCATACATACAGTGATTTTTACTTCATGTTCAAGTTAAAGTAAAAGGATTTGAGGAAAATGTGATATTTTTTCCCCTTAAGTGTATTGTAGTTTAAAAAGTTAGACTATTGGGTTTTACATAGAAATTGCCATATTTCAGTGGTGTTCAGCGTAATTCATACTAAACCGTCCTCCCAAGAACTGCCCTAACACATGTAAAAGCAAAAGTGATCGTGAAGCTCAAGTTTGTCAGTAGCCTTAAAGAAAGAGATCATTTTGCTCAGAAATAACTTAGTTGGCTTTCTCTGCCTGTTTAGAGTTCATTCTGGCAGTCTCCTTTATTGCATGTTTACTTTATAAAACTTGAGTGGGCTATGTGAGCCAGACCGCAGTTGTCATGAAAATGAATGACAAACTCTGTTCCCCACAAGATAATAAGTAGGTTAATGCTTTGCCTGTTGGTTGATTTATTTGCTCTGGGTGAGTTGATAGATTTTCAAAAAGTTGGTCTAAATCCTTGTTCATTTGAGCTCAACTTACCCTGATAGAAAAGTCTTCTCTAGGCAAAAACCAAGGATATACCAAATAAAGATGTGTTTAAAGGAATAACAGAACAGAATGCTGATTTTTATTTTCTCAGATTGACAAAGATTTTTTAGGTAGCATGATTCATTCAAGTAGATAGAAGCTGGGACGAGAGAAAATTTAGAATTACATTATAACAGGATCACATAAGACAGCGTGTTCATGCTGGAAGCGTACATGCAAAGGGGCATATAGTACTTGGTATAAGCCACAGTGAGATTGTAACCATGTCTGGGCCCTGAGGGCAGCTGTGGCACCTCTAGTGGCATCACTGATCCTGCCTCCTGCTTGGACTTCTGGGTACCACCCTGCTGCCTCCCCTGACGTGTCTTTGGAATAGAAATGGTGGGAGGCAGAGGGGCTTCCTCAGGCACATCCCTCTCTTTTCCTAGGTTCAGTTCACCAGACTGGCCTGCCCTTCTTATTCATAGCCTCTCAGATAGGCTCACTCATTAGCCTTTGGGCTTCTGGTGGCCTGCTGTCAGGTTCTGGGAGGGCTTTGGGGCTGCCTTCCTGACCAGCCTCTTCCAAGTCTACAGTTTTTCACAGGCTTTTCCATTAGCCCATTCATTGATTGTTTCTGTACCACCACTGACACTAACTACGGCCTCCACCTCCCCGTTAGCTGCTCTCAAGCCTCCGGCTACAAGCTCAAACAACAGAATACCACTTAGCTCCGCGCAGGCCTTTCAGCAGAGCTCTTCCCTGTCCAGGGATCAGGGCCAGACTCTCTCCAGCTCTGGAGCTCTATGTATATCCCCTGCCTGGCTCCACCCCTTCCAGTCAGCAGGCCTGGCCCACCACATTGGGCACAGGAGTTGCTAATTACTGCATCAGCCCTCTAGTGTGCCGCTGTCTGCAGTTAGCAGGCTGGCTCTGCTTATTGGGGTTTGCAGCCTAAAGGTGTATAGCCCCGTACCTCTGCTGCCTGCCTGCCCAGTCACAGGGAGGGGAGCCTGTTTCAGTGATGTACTTCTGCATGCATGAAAATAGGTTTTCTTTTTGGAGCTCTTAAAATTTGGAGCTCTACTTGTGAGTCCTAAGCACTCGTGAAAATTTGTTCCATTTTTAGGTCTTCTAATTGGGCACCAATGCATGTGCCAATGCCCGTTCCGATGCGTTCTAATTGAACGCTCCAGCAGCCTTAGCGTCACGTGTATTCAGTGACCCTTGTTTCAAAATGGTGGCAGGGGCGCTTTAAAGCTCGTCAAATGAGCTTTAGTTAAAGGGCCCCACCACCATTTTAAAGCATGGCATTCTGAATACATGAGATATTGTACGCGTTTTTAATTAGAGTGGCTCCCAAGAGCTGCTCTAATTAGCCCCCTCTCCCTCCCACCCCGGAGCATGTGTAAAGATGCCCATTCAGTTTCTTAAATGACAGTAAAAGCTTAAAGGACAACTGTAAGAGATTTTTTACTCATTAAAGTTAATTGTCACAGAAATGCTTTGTGTTGAATCTATCCCAGGTGTACTCTCCTGGGAGCTGTTGTATTGTTCAGACAAAGCAGATAGAAAGGGTAATTATAAGATGCTAGTCTACAAGTCAAATGACTTATGTTCACTTCCTTTCTTCTCCATAGATTTCTTATGTGAATTTGGTTGAGGCATTTAATCTCTCTGTAGCTTACTTCTTTGTCTCTAAAATGAGAAGAGTAATGCCTCCCTGCTTACCAGATTGGTGTGAGGATAGATGCGTTTATACATTATTTTAGTGGGGACCATATAGTATAGAATTGGGCCCGAAGGCACATGCTTTTGAATAATGTATTTCCACCTATGGTGGTATTATGCTTGGTAGTTTCTTTGCCTGTTTTTGGTGATAGCTATAACTCTGAAAAGTGAAATAACTTGTATAACAATTATGTGAAGATGATGTCATGTCCATAGTAAGTGAATTTTTTACAATAAATTAAAGGGAAGGTTTTTAGTATTTCTTGGCAACTTTCTGATTTAGGGACAATTGTACCCTTTTATTCACACTTACTGGTAGGGCAGCCCTACACTGAAACTGTTTAATAAATGTAACAGTGATACATTCTTATCGCAATAGAACGACACAGCAAAGCATTTGTCATTTTTTTCAGTCTGTTGGTGAGACAGCTAGTGCCAGATTTGAGTCCTATGTTTTCATAAATGCTTTTTTGCCCTTTTTCGTAGATCAGATTACTTCTCATTCTACCTCACAGTTACCTTTTCCATGGAGTTGTGAACTTCTTATCCATTAGAATAGAGTTTAAAGCAACTTTTTAGGATCTATTTATGAAAGCCAAAGCCATTTTATTATAAATGGCTTATATGGTAGTGGATTGCATAGACGTTTTACACTTTGGCAGATTGATTCAGTATTTCAGAAGGAGATAAATTGTACATCTATTGGTAAAAGTCCAACACCTGAACTGGAGCCAGGCTGTTAATATTCATTGGAAGACTGAGTTATAAATTGCTTACTTGTAGTTGACTTCAGCCTTCTGTAGTGTTTATTTTCAGTTTTAGTTTTAAATTTTAAAAGATGAATAACCTTTGTTTGACCTTGAGATTTTACAATCTAAGGAGAGAAATGCAATGAATACCTGTACAGGAGAAAGAGAGAGAAGTAGGGGATAACTTAACATTTAGTGTAGCAAGTGGTGGTTTTGATTCAGTACAGATAGATTCTGGAGGCAGTAGTAAATAGATGCCCTCTTCCATGCTAGGACTTTTATTTTAAATTGTTTTTAGTTTTTATTGCACTAAAATAAATGGAATGGGGAGTGAAATTAATAGAAAAGCTTTAATTAAATTGAATGGACAGTCATGCTATCTGGGCAGGGAAGTGAACAGTTGTAAAAGGTAAGTAGAGATTGTCATGGGGAAAAAGGTAACTGTTCCTCATTGCTATTCCCTTCTTAATACCATTATTTGTCCTAGATCTGTCCTTCAGATTCGCATTTTTCCTCTGGTCTCTTCCTCATCCAACTAACTCGCAGCCGTGCTGATGGACCCTTTCTGTGATTGCATGGTACTGGCTTCCTGACTTGGCTCTTTATACAAGATGTATTGTGAACAGCCAGCCTTTACTCCTGCTAAAAACTGGTTTGATGCTCAGCTCTGAAGAGTGCAGGATGTAAATAATTACATATTAAAAACTGTTAAAACACAGTATTAAGATGGTGAAGTCAAGCATTCAGAAGTTGGAGAATGCCAGAATTAAGGTTGACCTCCCAGGTGTAAGCCTTAAGAATATCACAGGATAGCATCATAATCTACCATACAAACCTGCCAACTTCAGCTGTTAGAGTAACTGGTTGTAGTAGTAGGTTGCCATCCCTTTTGTGCCAGCCATACTGGGGAATGGATTACTTTGCCAGTTCGTTCTACAAATATTTGCTAACAACAGAAGCTTTGGAAATCTTGACTCTGTTTCACCCTGTGGAAAGGAGCGTCCATGAGTCGGTATAGACTAGGAATCAGCAGTGTTGTCCAGGGGGGTGTCTCAAATGACCTAGTTTGGCTTGGGACCCAGTCACTGCCACCATTTCTCTGCAGCTCAGCTTCAGCATGGTATGACGAAAACCCCCCTTTTGCTGCAGGCTGTGCCACCCGACTGCATCACTGCACAGGCAGAGCTCTCCCTGTCGGAGCCCAGGTGACCGAGTGTGGCACAGTGCACAGCAGGAAGAGCCTGTTGCATGCTGGATTTGTCCCTCAGGCTGTAGGTTGCTGACTCCTCGTACAGACTGTTAGGAACTGCACCTGTTGGCCCAGGAGGTCCCTTGCAGTCCTGTGTTCATCCTTGATTCAGTCTTATGCTCACTGGTTTACCCCATCAGACTCTCCAACCCTCAGTTTCTCATTCCAATCCTAATCTTCAGCTAGTTATAGCCCCTCTTCCCTGCACACCCCAGTTCTTTATTCCCAATCTTCTTGCTTACTC